GGGGGGGGGGGGGGTGGCCACTCAACAACGTTTTATACATACAGGGAGGTTCCAGCCTAGGCCTAACGCCTTACACATTTATCGTTAAAGGAGCTCGTCGTGCTTGTTTAGGGGTGGAGCCTCCCCGTACAAATTTCAATGTCACTCAATTCTTCGCACGATCCATTTAGTAACCATAACTCTTACAGAAAGTCGAATTCCCTTAAGTACCGGGTGTCCCTCGCGCCTTCTTGTTCTCCCGGTCGGCTTGCATTGTGGCAAGTCTAGGACTTCAATAACACAATGCGCCTTGTTTATTGTTATTGTTTTAGGTTGAAAAGTATGCCAATGATAGGCTAAACTGGCATGATGGAATGAAAGTGAGATGGGTCGGAGCTATATTAGACGCAATGAATGAAATCCAGAGGAACCTGTCAAGGCTTACAACACCTTATCTACTTGTCCATGGTGATGGAGACCAATTAGTGACGATTGACGGTTCACGATACTTACATGAGAATTCTCTCAGTAACGACAAGACATTTAAGGTACACGAATGAGCTGCTTTACTGACAGCACTGAGCGAACTAATAGCCTCTCTATGGGTATTTCCGACGAATAGTTAGGGCGCTTGACGGTATATCATGATGGCAGGAAGAGGCGGTCTTAAAACGGCGTTTCTTCATGTGGTGATATTGTCCTGCGCCGGGTAGGAGTTTCGGCCGCGTTGTTCCAAGCGTAGTTATTGTCAACTTATCCCAACAAAAGTCGTGATTTGTCTAAACCCTTTTAATCCCAAGAGTGACCAATACCTATTTTCTCCTAACAATGTCACCGCGTTTTCAAGGGAAAAGGTTATGAGAATTTATAAAGTAATCACCAAAGAGGAAATTCTCCTCTCCAAAAGGGTGTCTAAAGAATAATATAGAGTTTTCCCTCTCCGGCCAATTTTCCGTTCCTTTGTCATTTTTAAATCTACCTATTATTATTTCATTATAAACTCAACTGCGAGTAAAACTTGCTTTGCAGGTGTACAAAAATGGACGCCATGAACTGTTGAATGAGGTGGAAGAAACTGCGAGCGTGGTTTACAAGGACATTCTTGACTGGATTCAGCAAAAGCTACCTTGAACTGTTTTAGGGCCACGTACACACGAATCCAGACTAATTTTTGAAACTGCATAACTTCGTACCCGGATTCGTGTAGACGAGGCCTTAAACCACTCCGGAAAGCAGTTTCAAAAAGATATTAGGCTGATTTAGCAATAGAACGGGAACGTCAGTTGACGACGACGCGCGCAAAACAAACAACTGGCTTGACCAATCACAGAGCAGCAAATTGAGCACCGGAAGTCGCGTTCAGTCCTTTCCCCGCGCTTTCCCGTTGTCAACTGATGTTCCCGTTCTGTTGCTAAATCAGCCTAATGTTTCGGTGAGAGGATTCAGTGGTTTCGCGCGTGGACGGAATACCAGACGGAAGGCCGATTCATGTAAAAAATATATCTAAATGCGCTTTTAATAATATCCGGATTTGTATGGACGGGGCTTTTCACGATAGTGTCAATCTACAAATATGACCAGAATCATTTCGTTTTTTTTTAATTTCTTTCATATTTAATTCAGTAAATTCAGAAACCTTAATTTGCATGAGAAAGCCAAATTCTAAAGGATTCTAAAAAGGGCCGTTTGCACGATGACGTCATTTTACTATACCAGATTCCTTCAGGGTTTTGCTTTCTTGTGCAAGTTAGGGCTTTTGTTATTTAAACCTCAGTGGGATTACCAAATTTAAGTATGAAAGAAAAATTGAAGTGAATTTCTTTACTGGAAAAAACAAGTCACCGCCTAAATAGCCAATTAGGCCCCGTTGCCCCAATAGCCTTGCAGTAGTTCAGAATAGACTCCTATGGGTCGTAGCTCTTTTGTTTTCGGGCTAGGTTCCTAACTTTGTTGAGCATTGTTTTCCCAACCAATACCCTAAGGTCTTCCAAGAGCTGCAAGGTCGCTCCTTATATGAAGAAAAGTCGCCCCAAGTTGAGGAGTCACTCGCCTACCCCAGCTACCCTGGGCGAGCCGGCAACGTTTCCTACATTTCCTTACCGAAACTTGGCGTTTAATTTCACTAGAAACAAATAGTGGGCTCAGATAGACCCCTTTTTCGATGGCAAGGTCACCTTCCAGCCAAGCGAACTTTTCTCCAAGTAAACACTTGGCTTTCCCAGCCAGGTCATTACTAACTCAGCCAAGGCGAGAGAATCAGAGCATGCGCGAGCGCTGTTTTCAGCTCAGGCAAAGGGGTCAACTGTTTCTCAAATAAACACTTGCTTAAGTTGACTCGGGCTGGGAGGGTACCAAGGAGATCCAGGAACGGACCCCACGTGGCATTGCCTTCCGGTCCTCGCGTGAAGACCCCGGCCGGGCTAAAATTGACCGGACACCTCAGAGACGAAAATACCGGTCACCTGGAGCGAGAGGCGACGGAGAGAAGAGATAGCCTGGGAACAAGATTGATTTACAGTTTAATGTTCCTAGATAACCTGCGATCTTGTTCTCCCTAAAAAAAACGTAAAACGCCTGTTCAAAAAAAAAAAACGATGAAACATGAAAAACTGTATAGCTTTACATTATTTCCTTGTTTCTGTTTTCGTCTTTTGTGGCTATGGTTTGTATTTTTGGATTCTGCTTCAGTTTTGCGGTTTAATTTTGTATTTTTTTGAGTGTGTTTCCTGTTGGGGATGCTTATTTCCGTTTTGGGATTTGTGTTTCTGTTTTCTGGTAGTGTTTTTCTGTTTTGGGTTTCCTATTTTGTCTTATGTGTTTCTGTTTTGGGTTTGTTCGCTCCTATTTTTGTCGTTGTTGTTGTTGTCTTGTGGTTTTTTTGTTTCCATCGGCCACCCTATATATTTGATAGTCCTCTGCATTTAAATCCAACCACTGGAGGACACTTCAAAACTCCGTTGAAAATTTCTTCACAGAGATCAAATCGTCTAGGTAAGAAATAATCTCCTTTAACTTGGAATTTGTCTAATCAGATATTTCTGCAAGGTTCATTTTGATTTCCTGCTGTAGTTTTTCTCTCTTTTTTACTTAGAAATAACTAATAATAAGTTTAGACCGGTTTGCGACCGCGAAGCAAAGTATGTTTGTTCCATATTAAGCAAAACGTCCGACTAGAATATTGTTTTGGCCGATTTGTGTTTCTCTCCCTTCGTTGTCTCCCTTTTCCGCTACTCTCTTCCATTTCCTTTCCAACGCTCCGGTGCCTCCAAACCCCACACCCCTACCCCTCCTCACACAAGCAACGCCGGATATTCAGGATAATTTGTGTTAGATGTGGACCTCTCATGTTGTAGACGTCACAGATTTATAATAATTTTCTTTTATATGATAATAGCTAACGAAGAAAGACCTGCTTAGTACATAAATTTGTGAAACTAAGTCTTGCATCGATTAATAAGAAATCGAGGTCATGAACTTAGTTAGTCACGACATCTTTCCTCAAACAGCCGCCTTTTAAATTTTTCAACGTTCATTGGGACTATGTAAATTGTATTGTCAGAAAGGTTTTCAGGAAAAATACGGTTTATGAATTAAATAGCTTTTATTTCTGTTCTATGTAAGGCAAACAATTTAAAATTTGTTGTGGTTTTCTAGTTTGTGGTCTCTCTGAACTTTGCACGTAATGTTATTGTCGCCGGGCAGCGGACTCATTTTTGAGGATTAGACCTAGCCCCATTTCTTTGGACTTAACCTGTGTACAGCCGCCCCCTCCCGTCAGAAAAAAAAACATTTTTTTTTTTTTAGTAACGGGAGGGCGCCTATACACGGGCTATTTGGACTGAAACATTTCGACATGTAAACTAGATGGGGAGAGTGTTGTCATCAAAGCACGGCGAGCTACGGCCGCACAGTGAGAAAGCCGTGTAACCTTAGTATTTTCCTCTTGGTGTTTACATAACAAGGTCTACACTTTCTGCTAATGTAAGAATTTTATAAAGAAGTGGAATCCGAACATAACTGGACTTACTTCGGGCCTTTAGCGGTTTCTTTTGCCATCCTTGCACGAGCATGAAACTAAACAATAAGGTCACAAACGAAAGAGATATTCCTTTTTATTATGTAAACACCAATGAAATACAAGGTGAGTTTTCACGCGAAAACGTGATCTTCAGATGTGAATTTACATGTTATCTTAACATGTGAAAAGATCACCGTTGCTATGGCTACATAATAAATCGCGCCTTTCGCAGGAAAAAAGTGTCTAACTGAAATGGTTTTGTATTTCATTGGTGTTTATATAATAAATAGAACATTACATAGCCGCTTGGAGATACGAGATTTCTCACTCGTGAAATATTTTAAAACACTCGAAAAGAAATTCGTATCGCCGCACGGCCATATAATATCCTCTATGTGCTACATATTCTGCCATAAAAACCTTAGGGATAGAAATGTTCCGATCCATACGTTAAAGGTGAATTATTCAAAACACTCAAAATTGACCTAAAAATCGCCCTCAGAAAACCCCGCCCAAAAAGGCTGATCTATATCTCACACCAAAACAGGAACAATCGAACTAAAACATTGGCATAATGTGTAAGTCTCCGTGATGGTAATTAATCTACTAAATTTGAGCAAAATCGACCGACACCTATTTCCAATCCTCCCTCAGGCAGAAGCTCTCAACTATATTTTCATTTGGTATCACAGGAGTTCCAAAGATCATGTTTAGTTTTTGTACTTAATGAAACCTTTCTTGTTTTCTGAATATTTAAGTAGGGTACAAAGGAGATTTTTTACATTCAGCTAAGTTTATAGAAAGTGGTTTGAACGGAATCTGCTTGAAATATTGTGTTAGAAATTGCAGGAGCAGATTACTGGAAATCGACAAGAAAATTCAGAAGATTTGTCGGTTAGAGTAAATCTAGGGTGGAAGGTGTGGAAAGTTCTACCTACCCTATCGGTCTAATGGGAACATATTCTAAGACTTCAAATGTATTAATGAGAATTATTTTTGTTTTTCTCTACCTCCACGCTCCTTTAAAGAAGCATTACGCCCAAGAAACAGTTCCACTTTGAATACTAAAACTTCGAAATGGCAGAAAGAACAATACAAGATATAGCTGAACAAAAAAAGCGTCTTGCAATAGCGCAAATCAATAAAAACACGGAAGAGAAAGCAGATGCCTACTACAATCTAGCCAGAGCTTATTCCTTCCTCAATGACTTCCATCAAGCAGTAGAGTACCTCAAGCAATACCTGAGCATTGCTGAGGAAGTCGGTCACAGAGCAGGATCAACAGGATGGGCCTATGGCAGACTCGGCTGTGCTTACAATTCCCTCGGTGACTCCCAAAGAGCAATAGAGTACCACAATCAACACCTCAGGATTGCCAAGGAAGTTAGTGACAGGGCAGGTGAAGGATGTGCCTATGGCCATCTCGGCAAAGCTTATCACAGCCTTCAAGAATTCCAAAGAGCAATAGAGTACCACAATCAACACCTCAGCATTGCCAAGGAAGTCGGTAACAGGAAATGTGAAGGAAGTGCCTATAGCAATCTCGGCTGTGTTTATGACAGCCTTAGAGAATTCCAAAGAGTAATAGAGTACCACAATCAACTCCTTAGCTTTGCCAAGGAAGTTCGTGACAGGGAAAGTCAAGCCATAGCCTATGGCAATCTCGGCAATATTTATTTACGTCTCGGCGAATACCAACGAGCAATAGAGTACACCGAGGAATCTCTCATCATTGCCAAGGAAGATGGTAACAGGGCACAGGAAGGCTATGCCTATTCCAATCTCGGCACTGCTTATAACAGCCTTCACGAATTCCCACGAGCAATGGAGTGCCACAAGAAGCACTTGAGCATTGCCAAGGAAGTCGGTGACAGAAAAGGACAAGAAAATGCCTATTTAGAAATCGGCGACGTTCATTATTCCCTCGGCGATGTGCCACGAGCAATGGAGTACTACAAGAAACGCCTGCGCAATGCCGAGGAAATCGGTGACAGGAGTGGACAAGGACGTGCCTATTGCCGCCTCGGAAAGTGTTATTTAAATCTCCACGACTTGAAGGAAGCAATAGAGTGTTACAAGCAACACCTGAGCATTGCCGAGGAAATCGGTGACAGGATGGCAGAAGCATGTGCACATACAGGTCTGGGTAACTCTTTTTTGGAATCACATTCTTTGAATGAGGCTTTAGAACATTTTAGATACTGTGTTAAAATCTTTGACACTATTAGAGCTAATTCTATCTCGGAAGATCAATTGAAAATAAGTTTTCGTACGGAACATCAAGATGCCTATACTAATTTATGGCACGTTTTAGTAATGCTTCAAAGGAATGATGAGGCTTTATACGCTGCTGAGAGGGGACGAGCACAGGCTTTGCTCGATGCCTTAAAAGTAACTTATGGCCTTACATCACCTTCTCAAAGGTCAATTGAATCTGAAGAAGAAGTCAGAAATATTTCAAGGAAGACAAATGTTTTAACAGTTTTTCTTGCCCTTCATGTCAAAACAGTCAATATCTGGGTGTTGGGAAAAGAGGGCAACCCTATTTTTAGGCAAAAGGAGATAGAACACGAAGATTCCTTTACTCTCCTTTTAGACACTGTTTTGAAAGGATGGAACGTTAAAAGAGGAAAAGAGGGCAACCCTATTTTTAGGCAAGCGGAGATAGAAATTGGACGTGAACACGAAGATTCCTTTACTCTCCTTTTAGACACTGTTTTGAAAAACATTAGGGCTGGCGTCGGTATTAGGTGCGAAAATCGGTCAATGGATAAGAGGAGTGATGACTCAACTCCCTCAAGTACTCGAGACGACAATCGAACATCGGAGCCATCACAGAAGAGCACCGACCATTTACAGCCATTATATGATGCAGTTCTTGGTCCCATTGAAGACTTGCTTGATGGTGATGAACTAATTGTAGTTCCTGACGGCGCTTTGTCTAAAGCTCCTTGGGCAGCCCTGAGTGAAACTTTAAGGATCCGCACTGTTCCCTCACTGACAAGTTTGAAAGTCATCACAGATTCTCCATCTGGACACCACAGTAAAAGTGGAGCCTTACTTGTCGGAGATCCATGTTTGGAGAAAGTTACAGATAAATGGGGAAACCCCATTTATGAGCAGCTGAAGTACGCAAAAGTGGAAGTCGAGATGATTGGAGAAATTCTAAAGAGTCAACCCTTAACAGGTGAAGATGCAACCAAGGGAGCGGTACTTCAGAGAATCGGGTCAGTTGCTTTGGTTCACATTGCAGCCCACGGAAGAAAGGAAACCGGAGAAATTGTTCTGGCCCCAGATCCCCGATGGGAATCCAAGTCTCCTACGGAGGAGGACTGCATTATGAAAATTTCTGACATACAAGCTGTTAAGCTGAGAGCGAGGCTGGTTGTGCTTAGTTGCTGCCACAGTGGTCAAGGAAAGGTATCGTCTGAGGGTGTGGTCGGTATGGCACGTGCTTTCTTGTTAGCTGGTGCTCGTTCCGTGCTGGCGACACTTTGGGCAATTGATGACGAAGCCACAATGATGTTTATGAAATCTTTCTACCAACAACTTGGAAGTGGAGAAAGGGCAAGTGTTGCTCTTCAGAGGGCCATGAAATGTCTTCGAGACTCCTTCGATTTTTCTGCCCCGAAGTACTGGGCTCCTTTTGTTCTGATGGGCGATGACGTTAAGATTGAATTGGAAAAAGAGTCATTTAGCAAGTCGTAAGTGGAAATTTTTTTTTCTTGCTGTTCTAGGAACAAAAAGCTTAAGACGAAAAGCTAGAACCATTCTTGTCAAATTCAGATAGAAGGAAAATGACAGACTTGATAATGAAAAGAATAAAAATATGTACAAAGTAAGGATGGGTTGGGTGGTAAGTGTTAAATTATTATGGATTCACTCAAGTAAATGCTATTCCTAACGGGCTACCAACACATTTCAAAAATCAGTTGAACACTAGGCATTGCTTAATGTTCTCAATTGTCAAATAGTTTAGGTCAGGTGTTGATAAAAGATATACATAGGGAATAAGTTTCCTTTGTTTTTCTACAGGACTAGCACTATATGTAGAGAAATTCATAGCTTCAAAACAACAAATATGTCTAACATGTTAAATGTTTTTCATTTTGCTATATTTCATATCATCATCCATGGCATCCTAAAATTTAACGCTTTGACCTTTATTTTGTTTTAAAATGAAAGATTAATTAATGTATCAATTGTTACTTTCTTTACAGGGATGCGCTGAAAGTTTGATGTCACCACAACTGCTGAAGTAGCGTGTATATATCTGGATTTCCCCAAAGAAAAAAGTGCGTTATTTAATAGCTGTCCTCAATGGGGCGTTTGGTAAAAAAGCGTGTTTTCATTTTAGTCATTTTTTGTCAGAACATATTAAATAGAGATTTTATAGTCACGCTAACGGCAAATGGCAAACGTCTACAGATTCAAGTTGAGAATTTCTCAAAATAGAAAATGTGCAGATAAAATGAAAACAGCTCAAAGCAATTCTTATAGATAAAACTAACTTGAAACTAACAATTTTTTGTAGATTTATTCAACAGCAAACGAGAAAGCTCGAGAAGTAAAGGGAACACTTTAATATTCACGTGGTATAAATCCACGGTTTGCCGTAAACGCAACTCTAAATCTCTCTAATTAATAACATCCAAAAACGTTGTAAATCAAAGGGCATACTGTATACTGTGAAGCTCTATATTAGCCACGGCTACACTTATCAATTTTAACTTAGGAAAAAGACAAGCAATTTTCGTGGGGAAAGAACTTAACGTTGTTTACAAGTATTTCGTTACTCCCGCGCAACTGACTGAATAGTAGTAGACATGATTGCCTCTTTTCTCGTGTAACCTACCTTAACCGGCAAATTGTAATTTGGCAAACGAAAATTGCATTGTATTAATTGTAATATTGATGATAACAATAATCATCATCATCATAATCTTAATAATTCCTTTTCAGTTTTTTCCCCTCGGCTTTAAAGCAAATGACTTAAACAAATAATTCAAATTAATTTAACAGGGCTAACCCTCGGGCGTACACGTAAATTCATACCCCAGCGCGGTAAAAGGGGGAGGGGTGGATGGAACCCCTCCTCAGAGTTCTTGATCATGATAATTTGCAGTATTTTGAAACGATTTTGCCTTCAGTGGAAAGCCTTTGATTTACTCAACAAGGTGAGGTTTATTTTTAATGGGTGTTGGCGCTGCTGGAGGCCTGTGACGTCACCAACAATGGTCGCCATCTTGGATTTCATCAAGAATTAGAAATCAGGTTAAATCGCGATTAATGATAATTTTCTGTGCTTCACACGTAAAATTACATTTAAATAAGCCCTTTGCATCATTTCATTGACAGGTTTGACATTTATTGTTGAAAAAACTTGGAACAACAGGGATTTTCACTCAAAAATGGCTTAACAACCTGCTACTAAAGACATCATATGTCGTAACCATAGTAACTGACCATCACTAAATTTGTCTCAAAATGCGCGCGAGGGATAAACGAACGGCTACTTAAACGTCGGGTGCTGATATTTTATCGTCTAAAAAAAAACGTCTGGTGGGGGGGGGTTGTACGTCCGAGGGTTGAGAATCCCAAGTCTCATAACGGGACGGAGTTTCACTAGGGTGATTCAGATTTTAATCAGATAATTTTAAAAATTTTAATTATGCACTGTAAGTATTTTGTGCATTCTGAACCGCGATTCTGAACCGCGGGTTACAATTCAGAAGTTTAAGGTCTGGGTTACGAGGGTGTATTACGTTTTGTATGATTGATCCCCGGTTTCCCAGCTGAACATGTTATATTTTTTAAAAAAAAAATTAATATGCTCATGTCTTGTTGATCCTTAAGGTATAAATTGGTGGACAGTACAAAATGCACACTGCAGACTGAATGCAGACCATTGTTTTCAGGGTTAGAAAACAATGGGACTATCAGTGGCTTCATAGCTTAGTTGGTTAGAGCGGCGCACCGGTATTTTTTTCAGGCTTCTTACGCAACTGCATAAATCGCGTTCACAACTGCGAGGATCATTCTTCATTTGATTTCATTTCCGCAGTTCTCATATATGATTTATTTCATATGCAATTGTCAATGGGACGATTGTTGTCACGTTCTCATTTGCATGGTGAAAACAATGTTTTGCACTGAAAGCAGTCTGTAGTCTTCATTTTGTACTTATGTTATATATTGGGACACACATTGTGTCACTAAATTAAAACTGTTTTTAAATTTAAGTAAAATGGGATTTCAGAGACGAGTTTAACTTATATGGATAAATTATTAGCGTTTCATACAAGAGTATGCCTTCCACGTTTGGGAATGAATATGCTCGTAGTTTTAACTGTAAGTTTTGGACGATACACTGAATAACCTGCGCTGAGACAGGAGCGAGTGACTGCTGGAGAATTGGACCGTCTGAGAATCATTAGAGTGACTTTTGCCTTATTTTAATAACCCATTTTTAGGAAAAGCGTTGCCAGATAGTCCTTCCATGCCTGCAAACAAAGAAAAAAGGGCCCGAAATCTAATTTTCATCCGAAAACAAGATTTATTTTCGTTCTCTATTTTTCCACCACCACTTCCTTGTAGAGCTGAGTCCGCCTCTGTCTCTGCACTCGTAGACTATTTGTTCTGCTATTAAACTAGGTGTAACTCTTAATCTTGTTTCTTAATTACTGCGAGTCATTTCAATCATAAAAAACGTTTTCGTGTATTATTGCGTTAGTGGTCCAACTGCTTTAATTGATGTCGACTTTAAAGTATCCAAACAGTGGAAGATATTAAATTAAGAATTTGGACGCTACAATAACTTAATGATGTTTTGTTGTAATTGTGCTAGGTTGTAAAAGTTGGGCTTTTTATCAAGTAGATCAGCTCCAGATCAGAACACGTACACAGCAACGTTCTGAGGTTTGGCGTTTGGAAATTACAGCAATCGTTAAAGCTATCATCATTCTATTGAGAATCTGACCTATTTTACTGCCTCTAGGTTGCTTTTCTCGAGGCCATTGACTTTTAGCCATCCCTCAGTTANTAATTGATGTCGACTTTAAAGTATCCAAACAGTGGAAGATATTAAATTAAGAATTTGGACGCTACAATAACTTAATGATGTTTTGTTGTAATTGTGCTAGGTTGTAAAAGTTGGGCTTTTTATCAAGTAGATCAGCTCCAGATCAGAACACGTACACAGCAACGTTCTGAGGTTTGGCGTTTGGAAATTACAGCAATCGTTAAAGCTATCATCATTCTATTGAGAATCTGACCTATTTTACTGCCTCTAGGTTGCTTTTCTCGAGGCCATTGACTTTTAGCCATCCCTCAGTTATATTATTTAAAGGAGCTGCTTTAATTTAGGGATGTCTCCATTAGGAAAAAGGATAGGAGGTTGGGGGAAGGCAAACGCATTAGTAATTAAAAAGTCTCCACAAGCACCATGATCAAAAAAGTTGTTCGAGGAGGAAAAATAGATTTTCACCTCAGGAGGAGAGAGAAAACTTTCATAGACCTCCCAAAAATTCAACGCAACCCGTTACTTTCCTAATGGTTCATCTCTTATACCGCCCCATGTAACGGAATCCGGAATCTAGGAACAATTTGCATGTCGAATCCGGAATCCTGGGCTTTGGAGTCCGGAGTACAGCTCAAAGAATCCAGAATGCCACTAACAATTGGAATTGAGAATCCAAGTTCCACTGACAAAGACTGGAATGGAGTACCTGTAATCCGGAATCCGTGACGTGGAATCCAGAATCCCAGACTATCGGAGATTCTCTTACATGGGGTGACTTATAGGTCGGCTTGTTGAACTGCTTCTAATCGATCCCAAACACGTAGCACGATACAATGTTTAGTTTCTGATGTAACCTTCAGATAAGTAATGTTGTATTAAACCTGAAGAAAACGAGATGTTTACTGTGATTGTTAACATCACAACCATGTTTACACACTCTCATGGAAACATGCCTCTCGGCCAATCAGAACATGCGTACTATCATAGCTATTTTATAAAAAGTCATAAAGTAGGTGATAGAGTTAAAAGTTATGTATATCCTTGGAAAAGTAGTATAGACAATAACAACAATGCTAACATGTTAAACATTATGTATGGAAAAGAAATGTGAACAAAGGAGTGCTTGTAATAACACCATAGGAAACAAGCACCAGTCTACAATTAAAATACAAGTTAAGAGTAAAAGGTAAGAAAGGTAATCTTTCAAAACGAAATTTTCAAGGTAGGCAATAAGTGAAATTTCTCATTTCATACCGGACTTCCAGTAAATGTGAGAAATTTCATACTAACTAAGACCTGCTGCCTTAAAACTTAACCATATCGACATCCATTTAACACTGTTGATTATCATGCATACTCCAAAGAAATTAAAATTGGCGTTTTATTACTGGCTCTACCAATTTTCCGAACTCATCTGACTTGTACTGTGTATGCCTGTTTCAGGATTTAGTTACTTTTATCCAAAACTACGTTTTTCAAGTTTATTTGATATATTTTGCCACCACTAGATAATTTATACTTTATCAAACAAGGTTTATGTCCAAGTCTCTCAGTAATGTCATGGCTGTAACATTTCGCTTGTTACATTTTGTCATGATTGTTATGTAATTATGTAGTTGTCAAAGGTAGTTTACTTAATTAACCAATCAATCACACCGTTTATATCAGGTTACAGTTTTGTACTTGA